CCGGACGACCGGACGACCGGACGATCAAGCGATTATACAAGCTGCATCTGACTATGTCAGAAGAGCTAATAATAACAACAATCTTCATTTTCTTCTTCTTCTTCTTCTTCTCCTTCTGCTTCTTCTTCTTCTTCTTCTTATTATTATTATTAGTTAGTTATCATTGTTTCAGCAATTCTTCTCGCGCAGATAGTTTTCTATTGTCTCCGTGAAGCTCGCCTAACGTGGGGGGGGGGACAAGTAATCGACGACATGGTCACGTGACAAGACGACGGCATGGTCACGTGACAAGACGACGACATGATCACGTGACAAGACGTACCTTTCCATGGCGTCGCTAGCCCAACTGAGTAACGTCGCTCTGGCGCCAACATTCGGCGCTGGCGCGGATTTTACCTCCTCCTCCTTCGTCTGCTTCTCGCTCTCAGCAACGCCATCTACCGGCGCTAGTACTGAATCGGCTCGCTTGCGTTCTAGGAGTTCGCGCGTGCCTTTCTCTATCTGCGAGAAGACAGACCGCAGTTGGTTGTGAGAAGATTATTAATTGCTATATCTGTTATTGTTATAAATTTAATTAAGGTTTCGACCATTTAATTATATTATTTGAAGAGAATTACGATTACGTTTATAATGCACTAAGTTTTAGAAGACTTATTTGTATCTGAAGGACGAAAAGCAAACATGAAATCAATTAGGCCCCCTACCTCATATTGAATAACAAAATAAGCTAATTAAATAAGCCTAATTACTGTCGTACTCGAGAAAAATAAATTGAACTATAATGGTTGAATTTAGATAATATTATTATATTCCATATTTGAATTCTCATTCCTTCTTCCTTTAAAACAGAAAAGTCACGAAACTTGTCAAAATTTTATTGCAAAATTACAGTGATGCCTATCTCTATTAAAACATTGCTCGAATTTGGAATATGCTTCCTTCCTTATACTATACACGCAAGCATACTATAATATACGTAAGCATACTATACACGCAAGCATACTATAATATACGTAAGCATACTATACACGCAAGCATGCTATATACTTAAGCATACTATATACGCAAG